CAGTTTCATTGTTTTGCATGTGGCTATGCAGTTTTCCCAGCACCCTTTATTGAGTAGGGTGTCCTTTCTTTGATGTATGTTTTTGTCAACTTTGTTAAATATCAGTTGGCTATAGGTATGTGGTTTTATTTCTGGTGTAGCAGGAAAAGCCACAGACAAAACCCCTCAGACACCGAGTTAAAGAAGGAAGTGGTTTCTTCAGCCAGGAGCATTGGCAAGACTCCTGTGTCAAGAGCTGAGCTCCCCGAGTGAGCAATTCCTGTCCCTTTTAAGGGCTTGCAACTCTAAGGGGGTCCGTGTGAAAGGGTGGTGATTGATTGAGCAAGCAGGGGGTATGTGACTGGGGGCTGCATACACCGGTAATTAGAAAGGAACTGAACAGGACAGAGATCTTCACAGTGCCTTTTTAATGCAAATAACCGGTTAGGTCAGGGGTAGATCTTTAACTTCCAGGCCCAGGGTGTGGTGCCGGGCTGTCTGCTTGTGGATTTCATTTCTACCTTTTAGTTTTTACTTCTTCTTTCTTTGGAGGCAGAAATTGGGCATAAGACAATATGAGGGGTGGTCTCCTCCCTTACTGGGTCCTCTATTCTGTCTGTTGATCTATATGTCTATGTTTATACCAGTACTATGCTGTTTGATTACTATAGACTTGTAGTATAATTTGGAGATAGGTAATGTGATGCCTGCTTTCACTAACTGGGTTCTTTTCAGTTCCATATGAAGTTTAGGATTTTTTTTCTAATTCTGTGAAAAATGTCATTGTTATTTTGATAGGAATTATATTGAGTCTGTAGATTGCTTTGGACAATATGGTCATTTTAACAATATTGATTCTTCTAATCTATGAGAATGGAATGTTTTTCCATTTACTTGTGTCCTCTTAACTCTCATCAGTATCTTGTAGTTTTCCTTATAGGCATCTATTACTCCTTGGTTAAATGTATTCCCAGAGTTGTTTTCTTTTTCTTTTCTTTTCTTTTCTTTTCTTTTCTTTTCTTTTTTTTTTTTTTGACTATTAGAAATGGGATTGACTTTTGGTTTGGTTCTTAGCATGATTATTATTGCTGTATAGAAATGCTACTGATTTTTCTATTGATACATATTTGGAAATTATTTTAGAGAAAGATGTGGCTCTTCTTGCATTCCTAAAAGATTCTAATGTTCAGATGGGAAATGAGTATATAGCCTAGACAGCAAATATGTACTGGTGGCTGTTTTCTGGAGGCTTTTGTTATGTGAGTGATAAATATACTGCAAGGTACTGCCAAGAAGCTGCTTCTCCAAGATCTTTGTACAGAGACTAATGTCACGATGAGCATGTAGTTCTGGGATCTAGACCTGCATTGCTTTGTATATTTAGTAGTGGACTGCATTAGTACAGCTTTGCTGGTGTGGGCTCTACTTTACTTCTAGAGCCAGTGGATTTTCATCAAGTTAAGCATTTTACCTTCACTAGCATTCCATTCTTTACCTAATTTACTTATGTAGCAAACCTGTCGAGCATCAAAGTGTCAGTTGCGGATTCTTTGGCAGAAGTAAAACCGGTTTATGTTTCAGTAAAACTAACACTAAAAACTCTATTCCTATCCTTTGGGAGTTTGATCCACAATTTCCTTGTTTTTGCTCCTTCATAAAACACTGAGTAGAAAGGAGGCTTCTTAGGACAGAGGGGACTTGTTCCTTTTTTATTTTTTAACAAAAAAGAACCTCTGAGAATCCTGTCCCCTACGATGTAGTCTGGGGGTGCTGTGGTGTGCGCATATCCATAAACTTGTGTATCTCCATACCTAACAGCGCTGCTGGGCTCAAGGGAAAAGAATACTGTTTGCAGAATGAATCCATTGTCACGTAGACAACCTCAAGCAGGGAAGGAAGCTTATGCTTCCATAAGGCTTAGCAAAGTCTTCTCATATGAGAGCTAGCAAAGAATTTGAAGATCCAAAATATCAGGGTCCATTTTGAAAGCTGGGGCAATAGTGGAGGGGGTGTCGAAAGTCCTAGTGTATAAAAGGTGGGTTACCTGAGGTACAGTCCAAAGTCCATGAGTAAACAGAGGCTAGGGGCAGAGGAAAGAAGACACCTGAGGGAGCCCCTGTTTTCCTTATTTGGTTCAGGTCAGAGAGTGGGTATTTGTCTATAGCTACCCTACCCTTACTACCCTCCCCACAACACTCCCTCACCTCTCACCAAAAAAGAAAAAAAAAAAAGGAAGAATAGAAACTTTTGAACCCATGTGGGGATTTCACAATCATGTCTTCTTTTCTTGGTAATGTTCTGCTTTGACATAATAACAAATCTGTTTGTGTTTGCAAAGGATTAGCTATGGACCCTGCTTCTGGAGCAAAACTCAGACAAGGATTTAGTAAATCTTCTAAAAAAGATTAACTCCTAGAAGCCAGGTAAGAAAAAAAAAAAATCACCTCTAATCCAGGTGTTCCTGGTCAGTTAATGACTTTTAAGAGAACGGATGCATAGTAGGCAAACTGAAGAGACGTTTGGACAAACTCCAGATTGAGTTAACAAAATGTATGCTCTTGAAACTGACTCTTCTGTTAAACATACAGTTCAAAGAGGATATTCAGTTTTTGATTTATGACTTAATAGGAAAGGGGAATGATCCTTCACTTTTGACTGGAAAGGTTATTGCCTTGTCCCTTTTTCTAAGTACCTTACCCTCAAAAAGAATAGTTCCCTGAGAATGTGAATTGTTTGTAAAACAATTAAAAGTCTAAAGAGGCCTACATTATTTAGCATTCTCAATGTGGAAACAATGACGTTCTAAAGTAAATGCCTCTTCTTTCTGCTTTCAGACTGGCTCCCTGAAACCCATCAGCCTGGATGGCTGCATACCCCAGAATGCCACCTAAGGGGAGGGAACGGTAGATGTGACATCGGTTTATATACCCTTGATTCTTCTTGAAGCATCACTTAGAACAAGTAAAACTAGCTTCAAATTTTTATTTACTCTCTTTGAATTTTTCAAAACAAAAGCCTGAAACCAATCAACCTGTATAATGCATGATTCAAATTCACTTGATGTTTTTTAATTGGACATTTGATGGGTTTTTAAGACAATGTTGCTTTGATATTAGAACCTTTTTAGTAGACTAGTAATTGGAGTACAAACATTATTTACTTACTAGGAAAATCTTTCTTTAACTGGCTTCATTTTATGTACTAGCCGTGAAATCTCAGTTTTGATATTGGCATCTAGTAAGTATTAAATTATAGCTATTATACTTAATTTAAATGTTTATGTATATACTGTGTAGAAGTGTCTTACATATACCAGTCACACAGACCATATTTGGGGGGAAACACTGAAGTAGAGGATAAAACATTACCAAAATCTTCCATACTGTGGGAAGAATGTTCTCAGTGGCCTCAATGCATTTATTTATCATGGCCAAACCAGAAGCTATCTATTCATTTCGTTAGCATTGATTTATACAGAGCTCTGTTGGGAGGTGACCCTCTCTTCTCTTTGCAGTCTTTTTTTTTTTTTTTTTGAGACAGGATCTCAGTCTGTCACCCAGGCTGCAGTTGTGCGATCTTGGCTCAAGCAGTACCTTCCACCTCAGCCTCCCGGGTAGCTGGGACCACAGACTTGCACCACCACAACCGGCTAATTTTTTATATTTTTTGTAGAGATGGGGTTTCGCTATTGGCCGAGCTAGTCTTGAATTCTTGAGCTCAAGCCATCTGCCTGCCTTGGCCTCCCAAAGTGCTGGGATTACTGGCATGAGCCACTGTGCCCAGCCTCTTTGCAATCTTAAGGGTCAATAGATCTCTTTTTGTAGAATGAGTTGTACTTATACTTTTAAATCCAAGAACTTTTTCTTAACCTCGTAAAATTTTAATTAGGACAATTAAACCGTTTCTTTCTGTCCAAATGTAAGTAGGAGAATCCCAGCCTACCCCAGCTTGTAATGCAGAATACCTGAAATTCTTATGCTCTGTATTTTGGGGACCAGACTCCAAATGTTATGTTCTGTGTTCAGGAAAATCAAGTATGTGTTGTGGAACTGACAGGAGACAGTAGTAAGCCATGTAAAAGTATCTGTGGAAGCTTCTGTAAATGGATGTCAGGAGGTTTTAGCTGAGATGAGCTACTCCTTTTTCCCCTTTTGCTCTGGGAGATTGCTTTGCCTCTGAGAACAAAGAGGGGATATGGGAACTGACTTAAACGTCCCCAAGCAGTGGACTCCTACTACTGGAATAACTTACATCACTTTGTCTCATTTCCTCCCCGCGGGTTTCATTGTAGTTTAAAGACCCAGGTCTGTCTGGCAGCTGGGTCTCACAGATTATGCTTCCTTCTCAGTTCCAACCCTGGGTAGCAGTTTGCCCCTTAAGTGGTCATCAGCATCATTGTTAAGGACTGTGAGTGGGTCAGGTTTTTCTCACGTTTGACCAATAGGCTTCTTGGATAGACAGATAAATTCGTCTTCCCTTTCTCTACCTACCCCCACCTTATTTAGTGGTAAAATAAACAGAAATAGGCCTGTCAGATTTAAGGAGCATAATACTTTGAGGAAATCCCAATAAGAAATAAGTACATTTCTAATTTGGCTAGAAATTAATAGTAAACACCATTGTAAAAGTGGATCATGGTAGCCCAGGTTAGACTAAACTCTGGTAGATAGTATTCTGATCTATACATTAGAAATAAATTATGTCATATTATAGACTGATTTAAAATATTGTACAGTATTTTTAGAAATAAGATCTTAGCACTGTGAATTTAACAGAAGCATATAAGCTTCCATCTTAAGTCATAATTATTTTACTCAAAAAAAGTGAAGTTTCTAATAGATGCTCAGTAGAGGTTCAAACAGTAGTTTCTGTGGAGGAAGTAATGACCAGGAGGGGGCAGGAGGGGGCAGGAGGGGGCAGGAGGGAGCCAGGTGGAGCTGGAAGTGTTTTCTTTCTTGATCTGAGTGTATGTAGTTCATGTTGACACAGGTGGAGCGGTATGAAAAATTAATCAAGCCAAATTGCAAGATTTGAAAAGTTTATTATATGTAAGATATATGTTTATGGAAAAGAAAGCCTCTAAAAACATAAGACAATGGAGCTTTAAAAAAGGTTAGGTTTTACATCTTTAAAACTCATTAATAAGATACCAAATTCAAGAGATTATAGTTACATTGTAAAACATAATCCTCTTTGAATAAAAGCTAATAAGGACAAACTGATGAATTACAAATGCACTTATTTACTGGTGATTAAAAACAATACTTAAGAAGTTAAGCAGCTTGAGTAGTAGTTTAAGCTAGACAGAGCAAAGAAAATTCTTGTTTAATATATATATTTTTAATTCCAGTAATATTTTCTTAAATTCCTGTTAAAAATATAATCAATATTATAGTCAGCAAAATGCCTTTGACTGACGCCTGGATTATTTTACCACTTAACCTGGTTACACAGTGATTTTTTTTTCTGTCAGATGTAGCTGACAACCAGTTTAGTCTTTAAGATAAATGAAGTGATAACTCACATTGCAGCATCTTGTGGAAAATATTCAAACTACATTTAAAATGCTTCTGTAAAATGGAGAACTCTATTGCTCCACAAGAAATTGTATATGTAAAACTACAGGTTGGCTATGGTAATAGCAACTAAACTACATCCAACCCTGAAGGTAGAAAAATCCCTGAAAAGAAATACACAGCCTAGTCATAATATATCATATAAAGGTTATTTTCTTATTTTTAAAATTCTCCCAATTTGGAGAGATCCAAACCTTTCCATAGTTCCCTTACTAGGCAGTGCCACATAAAGTTATTTAGTGAACATTATGATCATGGCTTACGATTAAATTCCATATGACAAACACTTATATATAGCAGCCGTCATTTTGGATGTTGGTTATGACAATATTTGCAGTTTGATTACAGAACACGCGTTCATTACATTTGGTACAAAGCATGAACACTCAGGACAGATTGGCACAATACATGCAGTTCGAGAATTCTCTTATCTCAAGCCAGTCATCACTGAATAAGCCATAGTCTCAGTTCCGTTTTCCAAATCTTTCTCATATTGTAACTGACATTTAAAATGCTTCTTAAAACATCTTCCAGAATACGAAAAATACACTTTAAAAATCATTTATCTGAATGCATGATGGAAATGAGGCAGGATGGCAGAGCCAGTGCCAGCTGAGAACACATGAGGGATGGGGGGCAGGGGGAGCTGGCCCAGGCTCACAGTGCCCATGGCAAGTGGGGGTTCTTGCTGCTGCTGCCCCAGACAGCTTAACCTGTGGGGCAGAGATTCCCCAGGCCCCAGGGCAAGAGTGCTATTCCCAAAGGTATTTTGGGTAGCAGGAGGGGGCAGCTGCCAGAAGCCCAACAGGGGGGACAGGTCCAGAGAGGCAGGTATTGTTAGGTTCACAGCATCTGCAGGCAGCTCCTTGGGCAGGTTTACTTTACCAGCATTTCCCTTAGCCAGATCAAAACCTGGATTGAGCTTTTGAGGTGACTGAGGCTCTTGCAGAGGCAAGTCCTCAAACAAACTGATATTGCAAAAACCTTTAGTATCTGCTTTGAGAGGCAGGCTTGCAAGTGGGGAGTATGAGGTAGAAGTGGTGTTGTACTTGTGATTGGGAAGCGGTGGCGGAGGAGAGCTAGGGGATACCGAGGGGTGGAGGGAGGCCAGGGACTCTGGCAGCGGCTGCATAGGCTGGGCGGCTTGATCTGGGGGACTGAGGGTGAGGCTATGGACCTCAGCTGGCAAGCTACTTGCAAGCCCGTTCTGGGCAGAAGCTCCTAAAGGGAAAGGAGGCAAGGCAGCAGCCTTCAGTTGGAATGAAGTCGAGATGGTGTGGAAGGTGCTCAGAAGGTCTCCGGTCTGCAAGCTCTCTTTCATCAGCTCCTGTGAGTGGGTCTTCTTGGTATGCCGGGTAAGGTGATCCTTGCGCCCAAATCTCTGGGCACAGAACTGGCACAGGAAGTCCTTGCATCCTGTGTGGACCACCAGGTGGCGTCGCACATCCTTCCGGGTGTAGAAGCATCTTTCACAGTGGTCGCACTGGTGCTTCTTTTCCTTGGTTGCGCTAGGGGGCTTCTCTTCCGCATGGGCTTTGAGGTGGTCCAGTAGCACCTCGGTGCTCCCTAGCTCCAGGGCACAGACCCCACAGGTGAGGTCCCCACTGCTGGCCGCATGGAGGGCCAGGTGCCTCTTATAGCCCAGCATGGTGTTGTACTTCTTCCCACACTCCTCACACCCAAAGGCCATTTTGTTGGGGTCGTGGGTCTGGAGGTGGTTTTTCAGGTGGTCTTTCCGGTTGAACGTCTTCTCACAGTGAGCACACTGGTGAGATTTCTGGGGAGAATGAGTAGCCATATGCCTAGGAGCAGAAGGAGAAATTTCACAATACAGAGTTGTTTTAAAGAGCTGAAGAAAGGTGTAGAAACAATATTATATCAAAATGTTAATAGTTTTCTCTGGGTCTTGGTATAATTTTCAAAATTCTTTCTTATATTTTCCAAATATGTAAACTTTTATAATTAAAAAAGCAAGCAATACTAAAGCCATAATACATTTTTCACACCTATAAAACGTTTTATGAGACAGGATCTCACTCTTTTGCCCAGGCTGGAGTGCAGTGGTCCGATCATGGCTCACTGCAGCCTCAACCTCCTGGGCTCAAGCAGTCTTCCCACCTTAGCCTCTCAAATAGCTGCAACTACAGGCACACACCACCAGGCCTGGCCAATTTTTTAAATTTTTCATTTCTTATTTTTTTTGTAGAGACAAGGTCTCACTATGCCCATGCTGGTCTCAAACTCCTGGGCTCAAGTGATCCTCCTGCCTTGTCCTCCCAAAGTGTTGGGATTACAGACAAGAATCACCCTGCCTGGCCAGAATATTCTTTAAGAGAACATGTTTTTTTAATGTATACAGATTTCTAAACAAAGTATGCAAGTATTTAAAAATATGTGACCATGAAAAATCTTTTTCAGGAAGGGGTTAAAGGGGTCTTTTGCACTCTGGAAATTCAAGTGACTCAATTTGCCTGCTACCCAGAACCACATAAAGCCCCAGTTTTAGGTTATCGCTCCTAGTTCCTATGTTTCTGTTGTTTGAGACAGAAAGTTCAGGCCATGGACAGGTAACTCTTAGGAGCCTCTTAAAAAGTCCATCCTTAAGCTCAGAAAAGTGTCTAATAGGACTGTGAACATCAGCCTGCTGCCTGTGCTTTCAGCCTCAGCCTCTGCCCACCGTGAGATCTCACCACTGTCTTGATTTCCTTCATTCAAAGCTTGCCTATCAGCTCTTACCTCTGATTCTGCTGCCTGTCTCCATTACTTCAAATTTTCCCTCTAAGACACCGTCGACTTACTTCTTAAAGGTCACTGGTAATTTAATTGGCAAAATTCAAAAAGACTTTCTTCTTTAAATATGAAGCTGCTACTCCTAATAAGAGTTGTAAGTCTGTCTTCAACAATGGCTCAGGGACAAGCCATAGTCCGTCTAGTCAATTTGGAATTTCAAAATAGCTATTTTATGTTTGTGAAGAAGAAATTGTTATGGAAAGCCACCACAATTCCATCTCTTTCACAGTTCCACTGAATTGCTAACATCGAAACTTAACATTGGCTTTTAAAAGCTCAGTGCATAAGGAAACCCTGAGTTTGTCACCCTTGAGCTTTAAAAGGGTTCATTTTAATAACTAAAACACAGAGCACTATATGTTAGCATCTCCTATAAAACAATCCTTCATTACAACTTGTAGCTTCATATCCCTCAGGGCAGTTACCTCCTTTACGGGTTTTGTCATGAGAGGCTAAAGCTTGTCCTGACTGACAATTTAAGTGCAGTTGTACCCTGTGAGCTTTCACGTTAGATACAAAAGAATTTCTAACAACTCATTCCGTAAAAGAGATAGGATCTCTTTTTTTTTTTTTTTTTTTTTTTTTTTGAGACGGAGTCTCGCTCTATCGCCCAGGCTGGAGTGCAGTGGCACAATCTCGGCTCACTGCAAGCTCCGCCTCCCGGGTTCACGCCATTCTCCTGCCTCAGCCTCCCGAGGAGCTGGTACTACAGGCGCCCGCCACTGCGCCCGGCTAATTTTTTTCTATTTTTAGTAGAGACGGGGTTTCGCCATGGTCTCGATCTCCTAACCTTGTGATCCGCCCGCCTCGGCCTCCCAAAGTGCTGGGATTACAGGCGTGAGCCACCGCGCCCGGCCAGGATCTCTTTAAGACAGTATGTTTAAGTCAAAAGTGTACTTAGTTACACCTTTCAGCCAACATCTGCCCTATACTGTTTATTCCTGCTCCTCTTGTGGAGCCAGAATTGGTGAGGGGTCTATAACAGCAGCTGTTGAGTGGAGGCCCCCACCTAGAGGCCGACTGGAAGCCAGTTCAAAAAATATAAAGCTAATCTGAATCAAACTGTCATTTTCTTAAAAATAAAGTACAACCTCATGCCTCCCTCCTGTCTCTCATTAAAAATAAAAAATAAAAAAGCCTGCTGTGTGCATCCCTTCCCTTCCCTCCAGGACACCACGGCTGGTTCGCACATAAATGATAACATGGTGGGTACTGTAAGGCAGGGACAGGAACCAACACGATGGGCATCTGAGAAATCAGATTGTGCTGGTGTCTCCACATTCTAGGTCTATCTAAATAAATGCACAGGTTGGAGAAAGGGTTTTTAGAGCATGTTAGAGGGCAAATAGCCATGTTGTTTTACAAGATATCTATATGTATATATATATCGCAGGAATAAATATGAAGTGGGGCTGGCTTACACACTTGGTATTTAAACCTTTTTTTTTTTTTTTTTTTGGCCCAGTACTGGTGACCCACAGCTCTCGAGTCAGTTTGTACCTCTCTCTTTTCTTTCATTATAGAGGATTTTCATCTGATTTGATTTCATTTATCACCCATGGGTAGATCAATACCAGGTTAATGACTTCACCTGGTTATCTCCTACCCACTCTTTCCTGTCCTACACCTGTACTACCTGTAAGTGGGGTGCAAGCTGACACCCCAGTAGTACTTGAACAAGACCACTGCCTTCCAAACTTCACTAGCTCCCACACTTCTGAATTTCTTGACTCTTTCCCTTGCCTGGCATCTACTTCTTTCCCTTTTAATTTATCCCTTACTTACTTATGCAACAATCCTGATCTAGAACATTCTCATCCTGTAGCTGAAATTACTTCAACGACTTGTTTCTTTCCCTCGGTTTTTCATCTTACCTTATAACCCATGAAAACAGCTTTAGTATGTCCTAGAGTCAGTACCCAATGCCACCATATTTGGGTATCATCTGGATCATATCAGTGATCTTAGAATTATTTAGAGGTTGATTGCTCACATTAGGACCTCCAACCTTGCCAAATCATCTTTTCTTGCCTGTTGCTGTCTCTAACTGGTTTCATTATTTGCTGCACTGAGACCCACATTATGTTTTCTGGTTAATCAAGTCAGTTATTTTTTTCCTTCAACCTCTGTTGCCCCATCTTTTTTTTTTTTTTTTTTTTTTTTTGAGATGGAGTCTCACCCTGTCATCAGGCCGGAAAGTGCAGTGACTCAATGTCAGCTCACTGCAACCTCTGCCTCCCAGGTTTAAGTGATCCTCCTGCCTCAGCCTCCCGAGTAGTCGGGACTACAGGCGTGCACCACCACGCCCAGCTAATTTTTTATATTTTTAGTAGAGACAGGGTTTCACCATGTTGACCAGGATGGTCTCTATCTGTTGACCTCATGATCCACCCACCTTGGTCTCCCAAAGTGCTGGGATTACAGGTATCATCCTTTTTTTAAAAGCAAAACCGAAAGCATCCTGCCATCTCACACTCTTCCAGTCCTTTATTATATCACTGCTTCAGGCAAGAGAGGCAAGACATGCTGGGGGCTGAGGTAGGGAAGGCGGTTCGTACATAAAGTACACTGACAGCTTCCCTTTTTGCCTCTCTTTACACCCTTAACTGAACAAGCCATTTTCCTTGCTCAGAATAACTACCTTCTAAACATGACTTAAGACTTCTTTTTCAGTGCAGTTTACCATAGTAAATTATTTCTTGGAACATGCGGGGTACTGATTCTACCTGTCATACCCAAATACACGTATACTCAAGTCCTGCGGTCCACCCTGTGGACCACGTGTGTATGAAAAGTCAGCCTTCAGTATACACAGGTTTCCCACCCTGCAAATACTGTACTTTCAATCTGCATTTGGTTGAAAAATATTTGTGTATAAGTGGACCTGCACAGCTCAAACTCACGTTGTTCAAGGGTCAACTGTAATTCCAATAGTTCTACCCCACTAATTCTTCTTTTCTAAACATTGATCTCTTGTATGTGTCTCAGTCTTTATCCACAGTTTTAGTGTCCTTACTGTGACTCAGCTACAGCCAGCGCTGCTCTCATGTTTGGATAAGGACCCTTACCCTACGCACACGCAAGAAGCTTCATGAAAAACAGGGAGCCTCTGCAACAAAATCATGCACATGATCGGCACTCAGTACTTCTGCTCGTGACAGCTAGAGGGGGGCCCATGTACAGAAGACATTTTAATTTTAAAATACATAAGCATTTGCAGGCTAACTTTTAAAACCAACTTATTACATTACATTATGTGTAACAGTGGTATTCTTAAGGGCCAGGAGCATAATTTCCATCTTTTCATTCTTTCAAGTGCCTTCCTCCAGGGTCACTCCAAGATTTCATAATGTCATCTATGGCAGTACCAGTCAGATGCAAAGTCTCACTTGCTAAAGCCTGGCTCTCTCCAGGCGTTTGTATGTGAACAGTCAAAGTTGAAACTTCAAAGTTTATTTCATGAAATTAAGGGCAAATGGTGCATTTTCCTTAACCAAGTATCAAAAGCAGCGCGTGTGAGTGGGCGTGGTATGTGTGTGGCTCTGAGTGCACAGACACAACACACACTATGCTCATTACCAGTTCTGGTACTGTGCAGCACAGCCACTGCATGTACACGGAGCCTTCCTGTGATATTAAAAAATCCTCTGGGGGCAGAAACTACATCAAATGTATTCATATCCCTCATGGAAGTAGGTACCTAACAGGCATTCAGTAAATAACTTAGATTAAATGTGATTTTTTTTTTAAAGACTCGTCCGCTAAAACAGTGCTTTTTATCCTTGGTGTGTCATAGATGCCTTTAAAACTTTGATTAGATGCACATGCTCCTCATCTGCATACCACCTGAACTCCACTTACTAGGGTGGCTTTCCACCCAAGCTGAGAAACTGTGTTCTAAACATTTAAACTTGGAGATGTCTCCTCCTAGCTTCACTCTCACGACCCGGACCAGCTCCCTACATTTCATCCCTGGACTCTGAGAGCAGGTTTCAAATCAGCCTACCTGCCACTTCTTCAAATTATTATCAGAGTCCTTTTTCTAGGATACTAAACAAATCATATTACTTCACTACTTACACACTTGAATGAGACAAACCCCCTCAGACAGAGGGAAGGCCTGCTATATGTGGCTTCCTTCCTCCCTGCACTTTTAGCCTCATCTGCTCCTCCGCAGATAGTACCCTCTGAACATGGGTGCTTTAAGGCCAAGACTTATGGCTTTCCCAGAATATCCTCTCTGCCTCCTCCTCTTTCATTGTGTCACAGCTTAAAGATTGTCCCCATCTGAGAAGCCTTCCCAGGTTTCATCAGGCAGTGAAGAACAACTTCTTCCACCTGTATAGCTCTGTCAAAGCAGTGAGGTTGCGTTTTAATTGCGTTGTCCTATTTCTCCAGCCATGGGGAGAGGCCTGGTATATTGTAGGTGCATAAGAAATCTCTATTGAAAGAATGAACTGACGCTACGTAACAAGACTGTCACATAAAACCACAGGAATTACTGGATGCAGATTTAAAGAATCCCTCAAAGGCTAAAATGCATCCGGATCCTGTGTCCCTTTCCCCTTGCATCGTGTGGTCTGAGGGCTAGAAAAGCCATTTAAACATACTTCTAAAAGTGCATACCTTTGCTAAAGCCTCTCACCTCATCAATTTATATCTGGAAACAAAGGCTTTGCCACAGTCAGGCTGCACGCACTTGTACGGCCGCTCCCTGGAGTGGGAATAATTGTGAATCGTGAACTTCTCCAGGGTGAGGAACGTCTTGCCACATAATTGGCAGGGGAACGTGGCCATGGGCTTTGCTTGTCACACCTTCCTTTTCAGATGTGCTGACCAGATGCTGTGCCATTTAAGCACAAACAGAAGGATGGTGCTGGGCACATCAGCAGAGTCCCTGCAGCTGAACTCCAGACCACGGGAAAGGCAGCATCGTGGGCCTGGTTCTACCCAGACATGGGTCTCTCAGCTGTCACTAGCTTTGCTTCCTGCTTTCACACATCCCAGTTTACATGCAGTCTCAAGCTGGGGGGAGAAAGTCTGAGGCACAGGTGCGATTCAGGAGCAGAAAGGTAATCTGCATCACTATAGCTGGGGCATGTCCTGGGTCCCCGGATTGGCTGTGGAGAGAAGAGGAACAGTTTTCTTGCATTAGCCATTTGAAAACAATGCTTTTCCTCCCTGACCGCTTCAGAATCAACTACCCACAATCACCACGTTCCTTTAAATGGTGCTCATGGAACATAATTCTCCCTGCGAGAGGGCCGTCTGCGTATAAATCTACACATCTGGCTTCTCAGAGTGTGAGGAGTCAAGCACTGATGGCCAGTGGAGCACACTTTTCCTCTGATAAGGACAGTTCTTTCCACAGATCCAGTATTGTCTATTTCAGGTCAGTGTGAAGCTCAGCTGACCAAAGAGGAAAACAACAACAACAACAAAAACCTCCCTCATTTTGTTCAAGTGTTTTTACTAGTCCATAAACAAAAATCACCCACGCTTATTCAAACCATGGGCTCTTCCTCATCACTCATTGTTGGCATAATATTAGTTGCTTATCACACCTGTTTAAACTTCCAGAGGATAAGAAATAATTTGTATACACCTAAGTTAATTTGTTTGTAAGATTACTCTGCAGAAGGGCTGATATAAACAGAATGTGCATAAAGCTAGTCTAGTCTGTCTAGTTGCACTGATGTGGTGGGACAAAGCTGATAGCTCAGGAACCAGCTCAGGCCACATTCAGATTTGTAGGCACCATCCTCTAGTAAGTTCTACTAATCTCTTCCTCTTTTGTTTATGGACCTTTCTTCATTCCCTGGCCCTACCCTGGAGGGCCCATCCAGCTACCTGCTGGTAGGCCACTTCCAGGAGGTGGGCCTACTGCCTTCTCAAACCCAACTTGTCTCAAACCCAAATCATTATCACCCTTCTGACTCAGCCACAGTCACCAAAAACCATGTTCTTTTTCTACCAATTGGCCATCATTGGAGGAACCTGAAGTGTCTGAGGCTACATCATGAACAATACTTCACTTACTAGGGTGGCTTTCCAGCCGAGCTGAGAAACTGTTCCAAAAGCTTACACTTGGAGATGTCTCCTCCTAGCTGCACTCCCAGGACCTGGACTAGCCCCCTACATTTCATCCCTGGACTCTGACAGCAGGTTTCAAATTGGCCTCTACCTGCCACTACCTGCCAGTGTAAGGCCCTGGATCACTATCACCCTGTGCTATTCTAGAGAGAGATTCTCAGGTGGGTAAATGCTCACCTTTCAAGTGCCAATACTTAAAAAAATTGAGTACTGTATGCTTAGGTGAAGTACACTTGAGTAGCTTTTGTCCACAGGCCAGCATTTGCTGAACTTTGCCAGTAAGCAGAGCACTCATGGTAAGCTGACCAATTGCAGTGAGTCTTTAAAACCCTCCCTGCTCCTTGCAGTCATTTATTGCCATGTCTCTAGAGTTGCTCTTTATTGTTAAAAGTTAATTTTTACTTACCTTTTTGGTTACTTTCAGATCAGAAAGTATGAGTCTAACTAGATGAAACTTTATTGCAATAACAGTTTAAGCATGTTTAAATATAGTATTGTGTAGTACACAGGCATAACCAAACACATATTCCTTTTCTAACCAGCAAAAATTCCAGGAAACGTGTAGAGTTCCTCATCTTCTGTTGTAGATGTTTTCAGTATCTGGACAGAGTTCACAGTGCCAAGCAAATGCCCCTCACCATCCTGCCCCACCCACTTGGAAACTTGAAAGCTGACTTAGGCACCTTTGGTCAGCACTAATCCAAACCAGCGGACACACAGGCATCCTCGGCCAGCACCTTGGCACCACGCCTTCTTTCTGATGGCTTTGATTCTAGCAGCACGCACAACCTCTGCAATTATGTGTGACTTTAACTAACTACCTGTCTTGGCTCTGTCCAAACCCCTTTCCCCCAACCCCTGGTTCCCTTCCAGTATTCTAGTTCATGCCTAAGGCCCTACCTTGAGGAATCCTCAACAGCCCTGGTCACAAACAAAATAACTCCTTCTAGGAATTCTATCCCGCCTGCCGAGTTTGCTCTGCTAGGTATCATGATCTGTTCTACTTCTCATCCAGCCTAAGTCTGGCCATAATACCGGCCCAGCTATAAAACACACTCATTCACTTGGAATTGCTCTGTGTTCTTTTTTATTAAAAAAGACTAACACACACAGAGTATGAAGTTTGAAAATGCATCTTTTTCTCCTTCCCTTTATAGCTGAACTCAAAATAGCCTTCATCCCACTCGCCCCTTCAGAGAAGGAGCTGGTTTGTTGGGGAAGGTTTTGTATTTCTCTCACCTACTTAAGACCCTGCATATACACTTTTTCCAACTTATCTCAGTAAGCTGATTCTCCCCAACTCTTGCTTTATGAGATGACCAGTATGTCCAACAGAATTTTCTGCAATATTGGAAATGTCACAGATGTGATGGCTACAGAACACTCAAAATGTGCCTCTGAGAAACTGAATTTTTTACTTTAACTGTAATTTAAATTGCTACATAGAGTCAGTGGCTCCTGTACTGGATGGCACAGGCAGACTCTTGGTATCCCCATGAAAGGAGATAAAGGCAAGGTTCTGTTTTCCTTGCACACAACTGTGCTACTGATTCAGCCTCAGGTGTTTACCCTGAAGCTGTAAATCCAGCCACTTGTTCTGTGAATCCAGTGGAAAGATTCCCCAGTTCAAATTCTAGCTTATCCATGTTATCTGTGTCCTGAGTTTCAGTTTCCTCAATTGTGATAGTTACCTGATGTATGTAAACAGGCTGCTGGGACAATTGACTGAAACAAAATGGATCTGAAAGCACACTGTAATCTAAATGAACACCCTACAAATACGCAGTATTTATGAAACACTGGGATTAAAAGTACTGTAGAACCACGTGTCAATGTACAGCTCACGTTCTAACCATTTAGCTATGGATGTAACGGGAAAGAGACACATTCTCTCCCTATGGATACTATACTGTATCAATTGTACAGAAAGAAGCGGCAGTTTGGACAACACATGTGCAGAAAGGACACAAGAGGTGGCAAGTAAAACGCCGGCATTCTTTCTCAGCAGATGTAAACCTTGACTAATTGCTTACCAAACGCACTAGGAGTACAAAGAAAAAAATAAAGCTTATTCAATTGAAAAACTTGCCCTTTGGCACTGAATGAGGTTTTCCAGATCTCTTTCCAGCCACTTCTTCTCTAGATTCAAAACGCCGGCAGTCATGGACATCACCCATGCCTACATTTCCCCTGAGTCCTCAAAGATGAAGGGGATAGTCTGAGCGTTAGACATGGCCATGGTTTATTTAAAGATGAGACACATTTCCTCCAACTTCAAGTTTCCCTCAAAGACCAAAACATTTCCCTCAAAGACTAAAACACAAAGCCTCTCGTTTTTATGCTTATTTCATGAATATCTTTTCCCAAGGCTTTATCTTGAGTTCCAGATTCATGTGTTTAATATACCTAGCCTAACACTAAGTGCAAAGTTGGTCCTCAGAACTAAATTAGTTATATGATAGTGAACATTCTTTAATTTCTTCAGAGAGTCCTTAATGAACTCAAATTCATAGTAATTTTTAATCACCATAACTATGTATTTCTTCAATATTGGCCTTAGAATAAAACAAATATTTGTTTTCATGATATAATAATAAACTTCTGTAAAAATAAGACTGTCTTCCTCAACAGACTATAAACTCTTTGTGGCTGAGGGTCAAAGCTTAGTTATTAAAAAAAAAAACAAAACTGTGTGGATATATACAACATCTCTCATCACCATGCACTTGATCGGCTCTGGCTGTTTACTGATGAGCCCAATCTTTGGTTGAAACCCGATGCACTTTCTGGCCACATCCTTAAAACAACTCAGGACAGCTTTCTATTATCTGGCAGACCACCATCGATCCTAACAGAACTGACAGAGCAGATAGTAAGTCTTACCCCAAAACATCTCAGGACATAATTTTCAGTCCCCTTGATTCTAAAAATACTGAGTGAGTGATGCAGATCTGCCAGTATGCCAAAGAAGGCTTGTGCCATCTGCTTCGTTCTGCTCATGTTGATTATTTTGGGGATGAGAGAGGATCAGACTGGAAGAAGAACATATATATATGGTAACAGCCAGGAAAGACTGTGTTCCCAGGGGACAGGGGTATACGAGGGTGGAGGGGGAAGTCAGAACACACGTGTAGTTCCAGGACTTCCCCAATGCTACATAACACAATCATCTAATGGGGCACAACTGCTTTACAACATTCTTAAAATAAACTGTGACTTCTGGCTTCTATTTCTATTGTCCCCACTGACACAGTCAATGCAAGACCCATTTCTGAGAGGAAATTGAATTTCCACTTTTGGTCTTCCAACACAGTTGTTTTTCTCAATATCAGTTCTTTGAAGGACTTTGGTAGCAGTCTCTATCAAATTTTAAAAAAGCTATTTAGAAATGTCATCAGTAGAAAGATGATGTCCAGAACCTCCAGGTAGTCATGGCTGCCATGTCTGCAGACCTCACTCCCATCATGGCCTAAAGGCAAGGCCAAAGATCAATCCACTTGCTGTTTCCTTCTAGTGCTACTTTCTCTCACGCTTCTGGCTTTCTCCCTCCTGGAATGTCCTGGGAACCCTTGTCTATCTGGCAAATTTCTACTTTTCTCTGTCACTCCCAGGCAGAGGCATGAGTTCCTCCTCCATACAGTGAGGCCCAGTAGAGATCTCCACTTTACTGTGTTTGAAGAGCTTTCATTCTAGCTTATCCTCATTGTAGGAGACACCACCTGCCCTTCTATTCTCTCTGAGAGAGCCACCTGCTGAGCCATCAGGTTTGTTGCCTGTAGGTTCTTTTCAGCTGTCACCTTGAGAGACTGAATTTTGTTAACCCAGTGACTAAGCTCTTACTTTCTAAGAAACGAGGCTTAAGATAAACAAGAAAGACAAAGTGAATTATTTCTTCAGTATTCAGGGAGAAAATTGAGAAAGCTGTCCAGATGATGATGCTACAGCTTTGGAACATCAAATCCACATCCTAGCCAGAATATCTGAAAAGGGACAGGGTGTGTTCTGTTTACAAATAGTGTAATATCTAGTTAAAGATGGCCAATTGAATAAAAGCATGTAGCTCTGGTCTCTCCAAAAATTCTACTAAAACAGTGATGGTGGGATTTTTCTAAAACACAGCCTAATATAAAAGGGGGAAAACAACAAATTTTGGAAGCTGAAAAGCAGGTAAACAAACAGTGATCGACTTGGCCATCCTAAGAAAGCTAAACTTTAAGCCAGCAATAAGAGGCAACAAAACAACTTGCTATACCCTGCAGCATCTACCGTACGTCTCTGCAATTTGGTACAGTAAGTACTTCTGGAAGTGAGGATGGAAACAGGTAGGAAAGCAGCAGGTGAAAGTCTGTTAGTGAAGCACTGAGCCCTCCTGACCTCTCCTGGTGCCTGCAGTGGGGCACCTGCCCTTCCTTCCCCTAGCACAAGTGCTCGCTATGGAGAGTGTATGAAAGTGGGGGAGTATTCCGACACAGGGTGAATGTCCCCTCTCTCAGGCCAGGAGGATGGAGGAGTCTTCCCTGGGAAGCTGACGAGCCCAAGAGAAGAGAGCAAACCATAAGGACAAAGGGGGTTCCTCCAGGGGTGGCCACCTTACCCTATACAAGGCTCCAGCTGACAAGCCCCACCTAAGTATACAAAGCTCCCATCAGCTCTTTACCGGTTCGACTCACAAATCAGTAGGCCAAGAATCACCAGAAATCAGAGGAAGGCACTTAATAGGGAAAACGGACACAAAAACTAACGGGGAAAAAAAGACTATGGAGGGAAGGAAACTTCAAAAAAAGAATCATTAATATCCTAGAGAGAACAGAGGTCCTTAAAAGAAGAGCAGGATATTATTTTTTAAAAAGAACACCACCAACAAAAAGGCAGTGGCAGTGCAAGACCCCAGGGGCTGGGACAGGTATTTGAGTCAAACTTTCAAGGGGAACACTTGAGAACCCAGAGAGCATCTGAGAGTTAACACCATGAAGCAACCTGTTACAACTCAGCTAATATAATCCAGCGACTAACATTCATTGACGAACTGGTTAAAATATGTATCATTACACCAAAAAACATGAAAGGAGAGGGGATGATTTTTAAGGCTAGCCCCTGACTGCATCTACATGGAGATGGAGTGAGGTGGTAGAGGTAGGTAGAGGATGCCAATAAAACGTTCAAGAGGGAAGGGATGACTCCGATGAGCAGGGAGCTGGAATCTGACACCACAGAAGTGCTTCATCTGTCACAGATCTGGGGCCACTTCCAACACTGGCCTTCCTCATCCGTACAGCACGGAAGCAAGGGGCTGGGACAGCCAGGATCCCCATAAAAGGGCCAAAGGCCTTCTTCCAGATGGGTCATCCAGTATAGTACCCACCAGGGGGAAAAGAGGAAAAGAAATACTGTTGCAGACTCTTGGATCTTTAACACACCTCCTCACCTCTCCCTACCATATGCATTGTATTTTTAAGTAGAAACATTCACACACACACAAAAAAAAAATAGACAAATGTCTACAAGTAAGTAAAATAGACGTGTGCATTGAGAAAGGCAAGGGTTAAGCCCAGGCCTGGTTCTCAAGCTGAGATGGGACTGCCTTGTTTGAAGAGGACTATTTATTAAAGAAGACTCTCAGTAGCCTGGTGGGGGGTGAGGGGTGGAGAGCAAGTCCCAAAATCCAGACAAGAGCCTTTGGTATTAGGGGAAGATTTTCTAATCATTATAGTCAGGAACGGGGATCATTCCTTTATGACAGCTGAAAATATATCCCCCTCCTCCCTCCCTAGAAACCCTTGAGTCTCACCTTTAGGCCCTTTTAGGGTCTACTTCTATAGCTGATGGCGGTGATCTCTTTTCCTGGGACTCTTAAGTATAGGACATGGAGGAACTGCAGCTCTAATTAGCGGCAGGACCTATTATTTTTCCAATAAGGTTACCATTCAAGGGAAAGAAAAGCCTGTTTCTTTCTCAGGAAGTATGTGAAAATATAGGCTCACATTGAGAAGAGAAATGTGAAAAGCATATTAGTTACATTGACCATGGGATGCCTGGTTTGTGTGTGAAAATGACCTGAATGACCTTGAAGGATCTGAGATCTAGAAAGGATGCTCAAGACTTGGGTGGACTGTTTGATCCTAAAATAACATATCACTACATAAACAGAAAAAGGCCTTGAAGTGCAGATAACCACATGGCAGCAGGGCATCTTGACAGTGGAATTATAGATGACCTCATTTTTTATTTTTATTTTTTGAATATCTGCACTTTCTGAAGTTTGATAATGACTATTTAGGCTGAGTCTAGGAGTATACCAGGGAGGAGGTATATTGCAGATGCAGAGGGGAGACTAGAGAAGAAGAGCTCGGAGTCAGGAGCAGTGTGGGGCATTGTGGAACATGTGGTGCAGGCTGGTTGGGATCAACAGGAGAAGGGCCTGTGTCAGAAAACCAATAACAGGGATAGCGCACCTGGCAGGGGACATTGGGTTTATCCTATAGGGAACTGGGAGCCAGTGAAAGTGAGGATGTCCCATCTACAGATGAATTGCAGAGAGGAAAATGTTACATATAATCACTTATCCTTCCCACATGGTAATTCAGCTACCTGGAGAGAACAGCAGATTAAAAGGTACTATTCTGAAATGCTAACTGGTTCTTTTTACATGAGATGAACCCAAGACCAAATCGGATTACCCTAGACACAAATGTGATGGACAGTTTTAAAGTAACATGCAGTATGTTTTTCAAGCTCGATGTAGAACTATCCAGAACTTATAGTAAACTGTGTACATGCATGGTTATGTGAGAAAAGTGAAGCTGCTGCACCTGTTTCAAAGCTCACTCCACTTCCTCCAGAAGCATGCCCCGTCTGCCTCTCGGAACACAGGCCATATTTTATTAGACACAATTATTGCCAGAAGCTTGAGAATTTTCTCTTTGCCTTTCCATGCCATGTCTAATAAATTCAAAGGATGCAAAGCAAATTGTTCATCCAGGAATACTTAATTTGAGAAATAAAAATATTTATCACTAATCCTTTAAGATTATCCTGGTTCTTGATTTTTTCTTTTTAAACTGATTAACATTTCATCGGGTTTCCATTTTAAAAGAAAATGGCACTGAAGGGACAAGGCAAGTTTTCCAAGTGACAACACTGGCTTTTCTGAAAGGGGAAAGGAATGTTAAGGAAATGGGGGAGAAAGCTTAAAAAGAGTGGAACACTAGCAAGCAGGGCCTCTTCTCCTTTTCACCTTAAGTCTTTTTTCTCTCCCATTCACAGCTTTAGGTCCTTTGTTTGTTTAACAAACCATTACAATCATACCCAGTTCACTGGGGGAGGAATGTGAACTCTCTGAGTAGCTGTCCTTGCAATCCACATGTGTGGTCCATCTCCCGGCTCATCCGCAGGCGGCTTTCATGTGCTGCTCTGCGCTCCCCGTCGCCCTGGAGGCCAGCACCTTGCTCACAATAAGCCTCAATTTCCCACCGCTGCCTGCTCGCAGCTCCTCCCCAGCAGCCAAGAGCAGTGTCTCAAGTGGCTCTTCCTCCCCTGCTTGCCTTGCAATCATACTGTCCACCCTGCTTTGGCTGGCCCCCTTCAGCTCCTGAGACAGACAAGGCCTGCTGTGTTAGCCACCCCCCACCTGTTCGCAGCCCATGGACTCGCCACTGAATACTGGGCAGACACATTCCAGGATCTTCCTGGCTAGCACTCCTAGTCTTCTAATGTCAGGCGCACTGTAAACAGAAGATATAGTCAAGACCCTCCCCCACTTCACCCCAACTCCCAGCCCTAACTAGAACTGCTAGTGCCTCTCTCAGGTCCTAGTAGATATGTTGGCCCTGTTGGGATTAATTTCAATTTCTTGGTCAATAAATAAAAATATTTAGTGACAATATTGTATTTCAGTAGGAGTCAGAATACTATTTAATAAACTATTTCAGTTGAGCTCATAAAGCTTTCTCATGCTATTCTAATAATTCCCATCTCACAGACCTAAGAGATAGGTAGAAAAGCATCATTGTCCCCATTTGACAAATGAGGAAACTGAGGCTCAGAGGATTTAAGTTTCCTGCCCATAAGCATGGACTAATGAGATACTGCAAGTAATACACTATCCCAAGCAAAGCGCCTAGCACAGAGTGAGTGCCCCAAAGGCATTAGCTTCCATTAATATCATTATTGGATGATAATGATGATGAACAGAGGTTGCTCTTAGGTGTTCTGAACTAAGCCAAGTGCTCTTTCAACTTATGCTTTGCCATCCCTTCTAGCCACGCTGTCTCCATGAGCAGTGAAGTTCAGCAACAGCTTTTACAACAGTGTTTTCAAATAAAGCCTCAGGAAGTATGACTGGATTGCCTCGTGTGGCTGGGAAGTGACCAGCATGTTTCCCAGGCTTATCTTTCAGTCTACATCTGCCACAAAGAGAGGACAACCTCTTACAAATCCTATGTACACAAGTCAGGAGTGTTGGCAGGGGCAGCTTTCTTCTTTTGAACTGACGGGGTTGTCAGCAGAAAATTCCATAGATCTATGTGTATTACTAGGCTGTGGTTGTGGGACAGCAGAGGTCATGAAAAGTTGCTAACTGCATCATCACATTCCCTGAAACGCACGTGCACTGAGCTTTAAAAAATGAAAGGGCTAAAAGAACCCTTTTCTCGGGTATTTTGCAGTTTGTGGAGGAAATGTGTTTATTTTCTACTAGAATCTTTTTGAAGTACCCTGAACCTCCAGCATGTTCTTGCCTATGATGTGTTTCCAAGCAATCATTAATAAACATGCCCAACTAGAAATAATCTTAAAACATGCGCACCTACTGAGTGACAGGAAACATCTGCTGCGAGGCAGGGACCGAGTCCTCCCAGAAGTTTGTCTGAAGATTCAAACCTGTGAGAAAAGACCTTGTACATCGTCAGGGAATGAAGCTAGGAAAACATTCCTCCATTATGCTACCCCCGAGCTTCACTTCTAGAGCACACACACGACTGGCGATGTGCAGAGGAGATTTTCTAGTGTGTTTTCATGCATTTTAATAGATGATCTTTAAGTACTTATATCCTTTGTCCTACTTGCAACTGGATTAAGAAAAACTCTCAACTTTTCCCCTGCTTTCTGCAAGTGGAACAAAAAGAACACATGAAATTGCTTACATAAAATATTCAAAAGAGCACTCAGAGGAAATGGTATTTTTTTAAACCAACAGTATTAAAATACCATAAAACAGGTATGCAAATCTATGCAATAACAGAACCTAAAACAAATTCTGAATTGAAAGAAAGTCAGCAAATAACCAGTTGGCACTCAACAAAGGGGCTTCATATAAATAAAGATTTATCAAATTTGCAGTGCAAGAAGGTTGAAGTCTCCACATTGAATATTTAATTAAATGGTTACTAAACCTGGCTATGCATTAGAATCAGCAAGGACAACTTTTAAAAATACAGATTCCTGGGTGGCCACAGGGCAAATCAGTGCAGACTAAAACAGCATCACTGGGACCCCAAGAATTTATGTTTTTACCAAATCTACAAAAGCCAAGTCTACAGCCAGCTTTGTGCCACTGAACCCTGATGAGCATTTGGAAACCAGCATTTCTGTTCACCAAGTAATTATCAAACTTGGCTTCTTCCTACCAAGACTATTCCAATCAATTGCTCCTCTTACAGGAAAGCTTTTCAGGATTTTCTTAACTAGTACAAAGGCAAATCTGTTATGGAACGAAGCCAATTAATATCTCACCTAAGTGATTTATTCACTTGCCTATTTTCTTCTGTGAATTTGATCAAAAAGGCTATGTCCATTTATTTTGTATGATAACATCCTTTGAAGTTAAAAATGGAAAAATCAAGGCCATTTTTGGACAACTGTTTTAAAAATAATGCATCACAATACAGGAAAAAACTGGAGGTGAGCAGGTTATTTGTCTGAGTCATTTAGGGAAATTGTTTCCAACGTATTTCTTGTTTTGCTTGTATAAACACTTTACAAATCATCTTCATGGTCCATCTCTTTTCTCAAAATGTTCAACATTTATTGTGGTGGTTTAATTGGGTGGTCTCCAAAGGCTTGTATAAAAATTTGTTTGAAAGAGCTTTAAAAAGACATTAAAGCAAAAGAGTAAAATTCTTCCAGATGATTCTTCCTTTGCGCCTACCCATCTCACAAACGAACAATACCAATTTATGTATTCAAAGAGGCAGGGGTTCTTCTGCTTCCCAGGAAAGGGTGCACATAACGTGAGGTACGCAAACCAGGCAGTGAAGTAGCTTAGCTTCATTGTGAAAATATTCAAATTATCACAAAAAGAAAGCGATTCCTTTCTGAATTCAACAATACTCCTTGGCCTCCGAGGGCTCACACAGGAGCTTATTCTTAAGCTGTTCAATGTAAGCAGCACTCGTGAAAGAGGAGAACTCTGGCAGGGAGGAGATCAAGTCCCTCAGCTTTTCCCACCTGCCATCTCTGCGCCAGTCTAATGCTTAAATAGTTAACAATGCAACAGAGAGTCCAAGGCAGGCCCGACCTGGGGGGAAAATCATGTGCAGTATATGACGATTTAATAAAGCAGAGAAGAGACAGGAAAAATAACACATCTTAGTTTCACGGGATGCTACTTGCAGACTGCTTTTCAGGTCAGAATTTAATTTCTAAAGCAGAGGGAAAAAAGGGTTTTCATAACGTCAATTATTCTTTTTTAAGTATGTGGTTAAAAATGACCCTATAAAATTAAACAATCCTACAGATAAATGTTTCCGAGTTCCAGAGTAACAAGAAGAATCACATTTTTCTAGGAGTGAAGACTGGCAGATGGTAAACAGATTCGTTAATTGTTTTAAATGAAGGGGGAAATATTTTTTGGTAAGTTTGTTTATTCATTGATGACAAAAACCAAAGTTTCACAAATCTAGGGTTTATGAGTTCCAGGATGTGTTTTTGCTGTCACAGTATGTTTTTCTAGGCATTTGCTTCTGAGAACAGCATTTAAGAACATGTCTTTTTCTCTCTTAATGAACTGGTTTAGCCGCCTGCTGGGCATTCACTGAAACCCACATTGAACAAAGGGATTTCCTTCCAGTTTCAGCTCATTCACTTCTAGCGACTCCTGATTTTACTTAAGCAAATTCTCCAAACTGACTTTTTTATTTCTAATGATTTGAGTGGGAAAGAATTGGGCAACCCTCAAACACTGGGAAGTCTGCCCTGGTTCTCAGTGAAAGAATCCTCTAGACTGACCATGTACAAGGTTTATTTTTGAAAAGTCTCTCGAATATGTTTTAGTTTCCAGATGGAAAGGAGCCCACCCGGTTTGGTGGATTACAGACAACTAAATTTTATTTCAGCAAGATGGATCATAGTGAACAATGAGACTATATCTTTGAAATGAAGACCCTGAGTGGGATATTCAGATTCACCTCCAAGCAATGATGTCATTTTAAAGGTGACACTGAGGGGCATGGTATTAAGGGGTCACTCGAAGTTGGAACAGATTTGTGGGCCTGGCAGCTGGTCTTCTACCTTCTCCTATTATACATGATCTCCCTGGGGGACCCCATGCATAACCCAAGGTTACAATTACTCCTTGAAGTCAGAAGCCTCCCAAATCTCTATCTTCAATCCCGAACTTTCTTTCAAATTCCAGACTAATACATCTACCTCCCTCCTGCAAATCTTGGATACCTTGCAGTGCCCCTTCAAGGTCACATGGTGGGCTTCAAACGTTAACCCGCAGACTTGCTCCTCCTCCAGCACTGCCTATTCTAATGGCACCGTTATGCAATAGCCATCAGGGCTCCCAGATCCTCACCAGGTGATGGCTACTGTTTTAGGAACTTTACTTAATACCCTTAACAACCACATGAGTAAGTAGCATTAACCCTATTTGACTAATGGGGAAACTAAGGCTTAGAAGTTGTGCTGATTTGCCCATGATCCTACAGCCAGCAAGCAGTTAAGCTGGGCTGTGAATCCAGGGTGCATGTCAAAAGTCAACCTCTTCCCATGTCACTTCCCAGCCTCTCCAAACTTAGAAGCTCTGCAGTCTAGATTGTTCTCAGAGATTAAGCTTTACAACCTTATTGTCTCTCAAATCTGTTTCCTTCTCTTAATTCCCATAGCTACCTACTGTTCGAGTGATGTTTTGCCTTTATTAGGGCCTCCAAATTGGGATAGCACGACAACTTTGGAATTTTACTTTGTTTGAATTCCCAATGATTTTCCTTTCTAGCTCATTTAAAACAGGTGGCAGCCTTTGTAATCCCTTGTATTTTCATCCAGTTGAAGACAGAAGCATCCTGAAGAAGTCTGTCTTTGTTAACAATATCTAAACCTAGAGAAGAAATTCTGCTGGACTTCTGGGAGGGAAGAAGGAGAAGCAGAGGAGAAGCTGCCAAAATGACACTCTCCCTACCATCTCCCCATGGCCAACCCCCCATCCCAGGGCCTGATAAGGAGATATGTCAGCCCCTAGCAAGAGAGGCCCTTGCACCCCTCTGTTCCCTAAGGCAATGAGTAGAATCCTTGAGAAGACAGCTACGTGAAGAGTGTGCCTCGGGAGGCCAGACCTGAGGCAGGAGGTTTCCAGTCCTCACTGGCGACCCTGAGGCAGACAGCTACAAGGATTCAATAAATCACTACTTTGATAAACTGAAGGTCAGAGGTGGGTTCCTCATCTTCCAGAGGCCATGAAAATCTCCAGGTCCTAAGACACACTCCATGGGGGAAGGGGAAGCACCTAAAACTTACTGACATGAAATTTCCTCTAGGTTGGCAGAATGCGAACTGGAGTCCGTTTTCATTATGGTGAATGAAAACAGTAATGCTCCGTGCATACTTGACGATCTGAGGTGAAATGCAGACTTGTGGGGTGCCTCAATAAAGTGCAGAATCTTAGAACAGCACATATCTGTGCTATAGACTAGCTACAACTGCTGGAACTGGAGCTCATCTAGTTTTCAAAAAAAGCCACCGCTTGGTTAGAGAGAGGAGCACGGACTCTGCTTAGGCTCTGGTGACCTAGGGCAGAGGGGTGGGGTGGCGGGGAGGGCAGCAGGCTTATGCTTTAAAACCCTGAGGCAGATAGAGAAGGAAGGAAGGAAACAAGGGCAGATGTTAGAGTATACTCACAAGATTAACTCCTCTGATTCCTATGCAAATACCTAGAAAGGGAGAGACACACAAAGTTATCTTTAAGGTCTTTATCATCAGCTCTGAATTGCTAAAATAAACAAAAACACCCAAGTAGCGGGGGGAACGGAAGTCTACTTGGAAGAAGAAAGAGAGCAGCTGGTGCTGCTGAAGTCATGAGATCCAAGACACCCCTGTTTCCCAAGCCTGGACGGGCCTCCCAGCGTAGCATGCTGGCACGGAGCGGGAGGGATGATTTCCATAAGATGGAAATGATTGCGTGCTGGAAAATGAGGTGCTTTAGGGGAGAGAAGATTCCTAACCCAGAGGAAAGGATATAAATCTTTAATATGTCACATTTGTTGACTGTAAGATGTTGCAGTAATGGTCGGTACTTGCAGCACCAAATGGGCATGTCTAAGGGGTCCGGGCTTTGAAATCAGTCATGTCATCCAAACAAATTCCACTTGAGCTCCATGGCTGAATGTCTGAGACCTTCAGAAGAAGCTTATAAAGGCCCTGGTGGAAACTGAAGAGGATTTTAGATACGCCAAAGATGTGCTGGCCATTACACAGAGACTAGAACTTTTAGTGGCGAGAGCTCTGGCTGGGAGAACCTCACATTCCTAAGAATCAGCAACCAGGGACCCCATTTTCCTGCCAAGTAGGCACACTATTAAATCTGATGGGCATGTCCAGGGGAAAGATGACCTGGGAAAGGAGTTCCTCGGGGAGCAAGTGCCCTGTCGCAGAGGCAGAGATTGCCAAGATGGTCTGCTAGGGATTGAGGCACAAAGCCCCCTCTATCTACTTTAGTTATAAGGAGGTGGGAATGCTGTGTTAAATTGTACCCAAGAAGATAACTCATAAGGCAAGGAACATGGAAACTAGGGTGTGTTGGGCAAGTAAGCAGAGGTTGCTTGCTTTACTGAAAGTGGGGCTGCTCTGGTCTCTCAAGGGTCTAGCCTTGGTTGGCACATGCTTCCCTTGTCACACCAGACAGGTGAGACCAAGAAGGGAAGACAGAAAGAGACAGTCAGTGAACACCTGCATGGCCCAGCCCCAACCCCACCACTTAACATGGCAACTACGTACAGGAGGCTACTTTCCAATCTGTGGTGCCCAGAAACTTGGCAGGGATAGGGGGTTTGCATGGGGAGGGATGCTAGAGAATGGAGAACAAGTTCACTCTATTGTCCCAAACTCAATTTTCGTGTGGCTTCCTTTAAATAAGCCACAAGCTCAATGTGTCAGTTAGGTCAGTGGAGAGAGAGATTTCTGCATGCTAGAGGCAGATCCATATTGCTTCCCCAGTCTCTCTGTTTTTGGATGGTACCCCTTCATTCTAATCACAATGCTGCTGCCAAGGTGATTCTTCTAACATGCAGATATTTTCCTGTCACTTGCCTGTTTGGAATTCTTCAATGGTCCCATTAGGTTTCTGTCGACTGCAACGAAAAGTCTTGTCTAATCAGAACCACTGAAAGTTTTTAATCAAGAGAGCAATATGTTCAGGCTTGTCTTATAGAAAGAAACTGAGAGAGCAGACATACAGATTATCCTCCTGGATTTATCAGTTATATACATTAAAATGGCCAAACAGTAATTCACATAGCAAAACAAACAAAAAAGCCAACTGTGCACACACACATACACACACAAGTGCAATAACTGAACTCTGAAGTTCAGTATACAGCTGTTCACAAAGCATTCTAAATCTTCCCTGACTCAGAACAACATCTTCGTGCACTCTGATTTGAATATGTGGTGCAAATGAGAACCATTTTAGGGAAACAACATAAGATGACTATGATCTTAAGGTGGTTTCAATTTACATGGTGATTGTGAGTTTTATGAACCACCTCTAATTCCTACTCCTGGAACAAAAAGTGAAAAATTACCTTGGTAAACGCCACATCATGGATCAATTAAGTTATTCCCCAAATAAAGTATCCTTTGTTATAGTATAAGCCTGCATAATTTCTAGCATTTTAAACATTGATAGAGAAATGTACTTTTTTTCTAATTTTAATATTTAACACTCCTATGTTATGATCCCCAACTCCCTTCATCCCACCACTGATTTCATTTTAACTTTTGTTTGTTCATGGAGGGAAGTAAGGAAATTTTAATGATATTCCTTAGATAATACATTTTCTTACCTAAAACTAGTACAATAATGAGTTTTATTCTACCTCAGTCCACTATGCGGCATGCACACTCTACTTCATACTAGGTTGTGTTCCTACAGCTAGTTAAAAAAACCAACCAGCTGGTAGAAAGACGGTGTAGTCTAGTGTACAGGAAACTGGCTTTGGAGTTGGATGGATCTAAGTTCGAATGCTGGCTCTGCTACTTGGAAGGTGTGTAACCTTAGGTAAGTTGCATAACTTCTCTAAGCCTCAGTCTCCGTCACCACAAAATGGGTATATCTATATATCTTGCAGAGCTGCTCTACAATTATGCATAACACATGTATATTTAGAGGCACAATGACTGGTACCGAGTCCAAAGTACATGTACGACGTAGATGTGGCCTGTGAATAAAAAGTGTTAGGGCTGATTTTACACGATGGGTAAGCTCACAACTAGGAAATATGAATAACTGTTTTTGGAGTAACATATATATATAATAGAAAGTCAGAGTATACATAATGGATTCGCTTCAATCATGTTTCTTTAATGTGGATCATCATGACACAATTCCATCTCCTGACAAGTGTTTATAAAATAAATTTCTACTATCCCTGTGCTTTCACACTTTCTCACATATTTGAGAAATTCCTAGATTCTTAAGCAGTGTAATCCTATTTACTGAGATTTTAATGGCAATATCATGTTTAACTAGAGAAAACAGTTACCAATGGGCCTGGCATGAACTGGTCCTACAGGTGCCATAAAGTTACCCAAATGGTATAATGAAGTGATGGAGGGTGTTTGGGGATTTTGCTACATTTTTTTCCTTCTGAACATATTGGTGGGGGTAGTGGACTAGTTTTAATTAGAATCGTTTGGAGAACAGGAATCCAAACACACGACCTAATATTCTCCTAGTTAGCCTTCTGCCTGAGGCAGCTGTGGACAGCCTTCCTAGAAGTCAGCCTCACGATAAAGAATAGAGTGGGAAGTGGTTTATCTAGTGGGAGGTTTGTGGGGGGAATCGAATGTAAGATGGGATATAAGAAAACTTACAAAGACAACTGGAATTTTTAAAAAATACACCATTATGACCTTCAAGGACATTTTGCAAAGAAAAAAAAAAAAGTCTGGAGAGAGGCCAAGAGTTATGGTTAAGCAACAGCACTGCAGCTGCAAAACAAGTGAGGGCTGCTTTAGGGTGATATGGCCTTGAACCTAGAATTAATGTATATGACAGGGAAAAACAACAACCATGTTAGATATGAAATTTAAGGCTGGGATTTGGAATCATTATCTTGAAATAGGCGGTTAAAACAAATCCTAATCTTTACATGAATGGTAGAAAATAAGAAAGAAAAGCTTCTGACATATAATGGGCCCCTGCCGACCATGAATTCCCTCAAATAAACACTGGATTGAGCGACATAACCTATTTTATAACTCTAGAAAATTTGGCAAGCTGAGAATCATCTCACATTATGATTTTAGAAGAGTGGTTTAGAGACTCTGAATTGTAACATATGTTACGTTCCGGATATCTGATTCTAAATGGTGGACCCTATCTCAGGTTTTTTCCCTAATATTTCCTTAAGATAAAACCATTTAAAAACACCTTTTTAAAATATAACAGAAAGAGAACAAGAAGTTTCTAGTGAGCAAGTCATGATAAGTAAAAATCAACTGTACAATGCCCATGATTTCTAATTTAAGACAAATAAATAGCAATGATCATTCTTAGCGTGTCCTCTTGATTTTTTTAGAGTGAAAAACAGGCTTTCATTTAAGACCACATCTTAATCCCCCAACCTTATTTTCCCCTCAAAGCCTGAAGTTCCTCAAATGTATATTCTCTCACAGAGTCTCTTCTGGGACATAAGCCCCTCTCCTGTGACGGGGGCCAGGGCTCTGGTTTGTGCTGCAATGCGAGGAGAGAATGAGAACAGAGCCATGACTGATGGCGGGAGTGCTGGGGGGCAGGAGTTGGAGGGTTCGGCACAGACATATTTACCTTTCTAAGTGAGGTACAGATGAGTTTCAGATGTGACACAAGACAGAAGCCGCATTAGACGTGACAGCAATCCTAAAGAAAAAACAATATCAAAAGTTTTTTTTTTGTTTTTTTTTAAAGCATCAAGAAAAAAACACATTGGTTCTATGAATACTGAAATTTACCTAATCAGAATATGAGTTCAAGGATACCAGGGGTCAAAAATCTCTCTCCATCAACATGCTATGCTATAATGCCATATCCAAGCATTCCAGAAGCACACATTTAACTCCTTAAGGGATCTTTAGTTTTAGAGAGGCTATACAGTGATGTGGTTAAGACCACAGTATGGTGCCAGAAAGCTTAGATTCCAATCTTGGTGCCACCTGGAGCCACTTAGAGACCTCATGCAATTGGTTTTCTCTCTCTACCTCAGCTTCCTCTCCTGTAAAATGGCAATAATGATTACACCCACATCACAAGACCCTTTTGAGAATTAAATAAGCTAATTTGAGATAAATGCTTGACACTGTCTGGTAAGCAGGGAGTATTCATGTATTTGTATTTATTTTTCAGAGACCCCACGTAAAAATACCTCACAGCTTCAAGCAGAAATTACAAGATAATCATGGCTGGGCACAGTGGCTCACGCCTGTAATCCCAGCATTTTGAGAGGCCAAGGCAGGAGGCTTGCTTGAGGGCAGAAGTTTGAGACCAGCCTGGGCAACATAACAGGACTCAGTCTCTACCAAAAAAAAATTTTAAAGATAATCAGAACCTTTTTAAGAGTGTCAACTAACCTTTTTAAGAGTGTCAACTAAGAAGAACACTATTCCTTTGGGTAAGGGAAACAAGAACCTCAGCAGGGATGAAGGTGAAGAGGGGGAGGGAAGTAAACGTCACTAAAAGACAAAATATGGGGGAAAAAAGCACCCCACTTTGGCTTGACTTCAATTTTTTTAAAAAGTCAAGACCACTATTATCAGCAGAGGCCTGGAGACAAGAATTTGCTGTGCAGACCCAATCATTCACCTTGAGATAAGGAAAAGGACAGAAACTGGACAGCAAATGATGAGAGGGCAGCAGCGAAATGTTTACAGACTGAAAAGAGATGGAAATATAGCTTTCAGTGAAAATAATGAAGACAGGAAATAGATCAATAACTTAAACCCATCAACCCTCACCTCCACAGATATAAATTCATTACTGATTAGCAGTGTAATCCAATTGGATGAATACTTGACCACCAACCCTAAGTAACCTCCTTCTCTGAGTAGCCCACATTTATGCCTTGAACAAAAAGGCTGCTGTTGTATGTGTTTTTAAAATAACAAAACGATATGAATTTGAATCTTACTGATGCAAAAGGCATAAACTTTTAGGTATAAGCTGAGTTGGGGTTTTTCCTACTGAATTGAGGTTTTTCTTTCAGAAAAATGTTTCACTAAAGGAGACAATATGTAATATTGCAAAGTAAACATTTAAACTACTTAAAATGTACTAAGTATTTTAACAACCTCATTAATATACAAATGATTAATTACAAACGATTAGGTATCTAATTATTACAGATGATCTTTATAATAGTCATATCTGATCTTATACAACTGACACATTAATTTTAAATAGTTCTGTATTTCAGAATAGCTTTCTTGCAACTAAATCTAGTGGTAAGGAGGATATCTTGTTTTCAACGGCTAGATACATGTTTATTAGGGCTGCTTTATTTGGTCAGTCTGGGTGGACGGGAAACTGTCTAAGAGGGAAATATCTGGTATTTTTCTACTAGGAAGTTAGTTTACATAGATTAACACACATGTAAACAAACAGACATAACATATGTCCATTCCCAAACTTATTTTGAGGGTTTGACTCTTAAGTTACTTGAAATTATTCTTCTGGGATATTACAGCAGTCTTCAGTCTAAAGAAAAAGGCTCTTTTCCGAAGAATCACATAGTTGAAGTTATCTGATTCTACAAGCAGAGCAAGAACAAATTTTTTTTTTTTTTTTTAATTTATTTTTTATTTATTTATTTATTTATTTTTTTTTTTGAGACGGAGTCTTGCTCTGTCGCCCAGGCTGGAGTGCAGTGGCCGGATCTCAGCTCACTGCAAGCTCTGCCTCCCGGGTTTACGCCATTCTCCTGCCTCAGCCTCCCGAGTAGCTGGGACTACAGGCGCCCGCCATCTCACCCGGCTAGTTTTTTTGTATTTTTTAGTAGAGACGGGGTTTCACCGTGTTAGCCAGGATGGTCTCGATCTCCTGACCTCGTGATCCGCCCGTCTCGGCCTCCCAAAGTGCTGGGATTACAGGCTTGAGCCACCGCGCCCGGCCAAAATTTTTAACTGCAGTTACTTCCCTGGCCTGTCTGTAGTTCTTTTTTTATTAATGTAGACAAAGATATGCCTCACTGCTGAAAGCTGAAACATCAAATGGAAAAGATGCAGTTTGATTTCCTACATTCCCTCCACTCTCTGCCTCTCCCTACTTCGGTATAAGTCACACAAAATTACTTCCAGAAACTAGGAGGATTGAGCAGCCAAGTTATGAAGCCTAAAGTGCTATGCTTAATGCTTTTTTTTTTTTTTAATCTTCAAGTTAATACTTATCAGGGTGACAGTCTACCAATGATCAAAGTCATGGTAATTTTTCTGTTCCATGAGAAATCTAAAATCTCAGAATCACAACCCGCTGACTCGATCTTATTTGTAACAACCCACATAAGTGCCCCTTTCTCTAGGAGATTCCTCCTGCAATTCACAAATGTGAATTTCACCTCTACCATTAATCAAAACAGAAGTGCAAATAAGTTTCTTTAAAAATAATCTTGGTAGTGAACATAAAACAAAAATAACATGGAGAGTAAAGTATTAGCCCGTTCCTGTACTTGTCTGCTTACTTACTCCCTCCTACAACACTTTCTAAAAATTTCCATTTGATTTTAAGACGTTATTTTCCCAAAAAATGTTGACAATAATTTCCCACTTCAAGCTCTGGCTTTAAAAAGAAATAGGTTATAAGTTGAGAATAGCTAAAAAAATTGGGTTTGTCCTAGGGTTCTGTGACATCAGACTAGTCAGTGCTTTCGAATCAAAATTTCCCTTAGACTTTTCACTAAGAAGCAAAGCTGTTTGTTTGCTTTATCTGATAAGGAATTCAAAACATGCAGTGGTAGTAAATCTGGTTAAAGAAATTGTCAAGGGAGGTTTTGAGTTTTGCCATTATTTAACATTACATCATAGAATTAAATCATGTAAAATGGCAGCCTTATCCATCTCAATCACTAAATTTGGTCAAGTGAAAGTCTACAAAATTCTAAATGAAAAGCTTTTTCATCTTCTTAATGGAAACATCTAAACATTACATTGAGGTTTATTTTTAGGAAAGAATAACAGAGAAGAGAGCTTGGATCTGAAAAAGAAAAATGCCACACACTGGTGATGCTTCCTTCTAGAGGCTGTGAACTGCCTGACAAACTTGCTAAAGCAAAAAAGGGCGTAATAGTTCTCCACAGAGGAAGAATTTTAAAAAGCAGTAGCAACAATCAGGTAACAACAGACCAATCAGGTCTTCCCAAAATTTAGTATTTGCAGTTGAAACTGGGATAAATAATTACTTTCTAAGGAATGTAGAGAGAGCCAGCAATCCCCATTCATTCAGCCCGCATTTACTGAGCCAAGAGCTCTGCTAGGCTTGAGATATAAAAATGAATACAACACAGCTGCTTTACTTCCAGCTAAAAGAATACACCTAAATAAAGAGCTACAGGGCCATGTGTTAAGTGCTATAATAGAGGTGTACACAAAGGGCTGGGGGCCAAAGGAAGAAGACATAAATTCTTCCTGGGAAATCAAGCAAGTGAGGGGAGATGTGAAAGAAGGTATCTCAGAGATGTTTCCTTGTGATAAACTCAAGACTTTTTCTTTAGTGTGTACTATAAAGGTGGTAATTTTAAGACTTATCAACTATTGCAATGCCAGGCGCTAATCTTGGTCTACAAGCCAGTTTGTGTTTGATACACACTTCCAGTTACAATATCCCAGGAATATAAATATTTTAAAATAAATATATTATTGTAATATTCCCATGCAATGCACACAATCCAGAATGGCATGAATCACTGGCTTGAGTGGAACATAGCTTCCAAGTTCAAAGATGTTTTAAAATATAATGAATGAAAGATAAATTTTAGAGAGTTTCCATATAATATCAATAATGCTTACTGTATCACTGTTTTCTTTTCTCTCAAGGCAAAAATAAAAGAATCACCTGATTATATCATGGTTAATATTTGTTTTTCTCTACTTCTGTGTTTAAAAAAAGAGGGAGGGTAGAGAATCAACTTCTACTTAACATTATTTATTATGCAGACCATATTCCTACTTATAACATAGTTGTGACAAAACCTCCATTGTTCATTACACACTAGCCCCAAACTTGAGTAATTCTAATGTAAGCATGAGAAACTCCCGTCTCCTTTGGGGTGAATTTCCCAATTCCTCTGTGTTAAATTGAGGTCTAATTTTCCCTGTGCCTGGTTTTCACAAGAAGGTCCATTCCACCCCATGTGCTCCTTTTCAGCTGTCAATAAACAGAGGCAGTGAATTCCCCACGGCTTCACAAAGCTAGTTAGGCAGAGCCATTCATTCCTTCAGGAAAACAGGGCATTGATTTCAGCGAGTTCCCAGGGAGCAGCTGCAACAAAGAGATCAAAGGCCCACCTCTCTTTCCCTCCATTGCTTTCATTAGGCCCAGCCCAGACAAACAGCGACAGGTTTCCTTGAGACAAGGAGAGGGCCCAGCAGACCACCTCATGGTTCAATTCAAATTCATCCGTTTCCTACATTCCAGTGACAGTCCAGAATGCTAACCATGACAAACCAGCACAATCACCCGGCATAATATACTGCTCGCTAGTTCATCCAAGGTCAGAGGGAGAAAGCAAGCACGGGGGGAAGTCCTCTGCTTCTAGGGCCTGCTGAGCTTCAATGGCCCCCTGACATTCCATAAATAAACTTCTCCCTCTCACTCTCCCTTTCTTCCTCCATCCTACAACCCTACAAGCGACGGTCTCACTGAATAATCTGCAA